GCTGCGCACAGCTACCCCCACGTCCCCAAGCAGGGACGTCTGCTTGCACCAAGGCAGGAAGGCATCACTCATATTTGGGATCCCTGTGCTCATTGCCGAGAAGCAGCCGCTGCCGGAGCAGACCCCGGCAGGCATTTCACAACTCGCAGCGATGCTCCACAACCACTGCATGCAGGGAGAGGGGGGAAACCAAATCCAAACCCAGCAGGGGAAGCCCAACGGGAACCGGTTAGATACGTGTCCTTAACAGGACAAGATCACAGTCACCATATTCGTGCCGGGAAATCCCCAGGGCTGGGGCTGCAACAGGTAGCCCACCTCATGTACCAGAGCATTTCCAACTCTGTCGCAGGCGGGGTACGGTTATGACTGACAGAGTTTTGGTTAGCTTCCAGTTCAGACCAGTAATAATCTGGTAAATATGTCACATGCCACAGGCATGTGACAGGACAACGCCAGGGTTGCAGGGAGGGAACGCCGGGGACACGGGCTGGCCAGAAGGACAGACACCCAGCCCAGCACTGGGAGGAGAGGAGGCAATGGCAGCTTTGGGGGCGCACGGACTGGGCTGATGCAGCACTGGTGAAGGCGAAGCTGTGCCAGGCTTTAGCTGAGTTAGAGCTAGAGTTAGCTGAGTTAGGGCTAGAAAACAATGTCTTGTTTCAGTTGCAGATCAGACTTGATAGAAATGTTCGAGAGCTGGTTTGGATTCAGTTCTGGTTGGAGGAAAAGCCCCCATTCAATGCCCTCCCCAGGGGCAGCCTGGCCTGTGGGCCTAGAAGCCGGGGTGCGAGGCACAGGGCTGTGGCCAAGTGCTGCCACACCACCCGAGACTTTGCTCCCTTCCTGCAAGCCAGTGATTGGGGTTACTCAAGCTGCTAAACTAAACAAAACAAAACAACCCAGAAAAACCTGGAAAAAGCAGAGGCAGTTGTACCGAACCCTGCGCAACTGCAGCAGCCACAGTCCTACCACCACACACACTCCTCGTCCCAGTGCCCACAGCCGCACGCTCCCGTCTCACACCCAGGGATGGGACGAACAAGTCAGCTCAGCTTACTGGTGTGATGGAAAACTATCCTGCCCCAAAACACCCAGGCTGGCAGGCCCTGGAAAGGTGAAGGGGCTGCACTTGCGTCGCTGGAGAGCTGGTGCCGGCCGTTTGCAGTGGGGTTTACGGTTTCCTGGCTAAAGGAAGGTAAACTATGGGCAAGACCAGGTGGCAGCCAGGAGCAATGTCTGCAAACAATAATTCAGACCTGGGTGGGGGAAGCAATTGCTGCTGGTACAGTCTGGCAGCTCCCGGACCTTGGGGGGAGCACGCAATAGCCGGGTTGGCACGATAGCTGCATTTCTCTGTGTTTAATAATGCAGGATCCAAACCCTGCACCCAGCCAGGCTGCGACCTGAGAACCCTTGGCACCCGCAGGCACGACCCGTTGGATTTCAGTGATGGCCATAACGCAGGAATAGGGGCTATGGCACCAGAGAGCAGCTCTGAACAGGCTGGCACACATCTATGAATCAAGGAAAAGGCCAATGGAGACACGAACGCTTCAGAGGCAGCGACACCCCCGTCACCACACTACCCTTCGTCCTGGGTGAGGTCCAATGTCAAAACCCACGCGCACTATCGCTCAGACAGAAAGGATCATGATAAGAAAGGGGGGAAACAGTGAACGGGAAGCACAGGCAGAGGTGTAGGCACAGCCAGATAACTGTAAGCTGATTAAATCTGCTCTGTGCTCCTGTTCTCCAAGCAACCTCGTATCTGGGACTGTGCCATGAGCAGACAGGGGCAGAGAAGGACCCCACTGTCCCCCTGAGCTGCCCACTGATCCCTGCTGGTGCTGGGATAAGAGTGGATTCCTCCTGGGTGGAGGAAGCACTCCACCATCGCAGACCCCTCTACCTAAAGCGCTGCGTCTCCTCCCCTCCATCTGCCCATCTCCAAGCATGGCAGAAGCAACCCCTCTGCCCACAATGACCACTGCTTGTGTCCCTCCAGCTGTGGAGAATAGCTGTCACCTCCCAAGGACCCACAGCAGCCCCAACCCAGGCGAGCAAGAGGCCTCGGTGGCACAGGGACACGCATGTAACCAAAGCTGCTTCTGCTGCCTGGTCTCCAGCCAGCGTCACAAGTGCCAGGGGCAACCAGTGCAACAGCAAAGCCAATTAAGGCTCCTCTGCTTGCAAAGGAGCCTGAGCTGCAGCTCAGCCCTGACCCTGGACCAAAGGCCCCATTGCCCGTAGCACCCTGGGTGCAAGTGGGAGCAGCGCAGCCCCACACCCACTGCCTGCCCACGCTCATCCTTCCCGCCAGGATGCAAAAACAGGAGCTTCGTGGGGGGATGGTTCACAGACATCCCACCAGGGTGCCAAGAAGTGCCCCGTGGTGACCAAGTCAGAGGGAGGACAGTTGCAGGGGCCGGGTGGGGAGGCGAATGCAAGGAGACCTGGGTGCTGAGCAGAACAAACTCTGCCTGGAGGAGCGGGACACCCAGCCCTCTGCAGCCGCTCAGACGGGACCCTGGGTGCTGTTTGATCCCCTGCCCGTCGCTGCCCAAGCTGCACTTGCACCCGCTCCCAGCTGCGTGTGCGAGCTGTGGCCGCTGCCAGCGCGAGGGATCAGGCAGCCCAAGGTGCTAGAGCAGCCCTGGGGGCACCCTGCCCTTGAGCCGCAAAGGAAAGGGAAAGGGGCTCGATAAAACATAAATAAATCAGAAGGGGAAGTGGAAATCCAACCACGGACGCAGCAGGCAGAGCCAGACACCTGCTCCTCCTCTTGTTCCCCCCCCCAACAGCCTCACTACACTGAACAGAGGCACGACATTTAGCACCAGGAAAAAGGAAGGAACGGGTGGGTTTATTTTAAAGCTGATGTCTTCTTATCCCTCCCAAGCAGCCCCAGGGGCAATCAGCACCTAACAAAGCCAATTAATACCTGGGCAAGAGCCTGATCCACCACTCAGCCCAGCCCGACATGAGACCCTGCAAACTCTGAAATGTCTCCTTGGTGGCCTGCTGGGTTCCAGCCATGGTGGCGGTACCTGCTGCCCTCCCTGGCTTCTCCCAAAAACCCGGCACCTGCAGCCCCCAAAAGCCGAATGGCAGGCCTCACCCAGAGAGACTCCAAGTCACTTTCTTCGGCCTGTAAGCCTCCCCTTCCGCTCAGCCATGGCACTGCTCCAGCCACTGGAGGGCTGGGCTGGCAGGGCCATTTCTGCTGGCACCCACCGCGGCTGTCCCTGGAAGCATGGCAGAGCTCACGGTGCTGCAAGAGCTGCAAACTAAGCCAGGCGTGCTGCGAGAAACCCTGCCCCGGGTCCCTGTGAAACACGAGTGGAGTCACGGCGAGTGGGAGAGGCAATCCACATGCTACTCACAAGCCGCCCTGCTCCTCGGGGATGGAGGGGACGCAAAATAAACGGCTTCCTTGTCCAGCCCCTGAGTACGGTACAGGCTCTGATCAGCTCGTGCCACATCAAAGACAGCTGTATCCCCAACGGTTTCCTGATCTCCTGCCCTGCTCGCTGTCCGGGATCAGGTTCCTTTCCCCCAGACAAACTCGGCGTCTGCCAGGATCGGCAGGACACCATGCATGACAAACCCTCTCTGCAGTCCCCACTGCGTCCTCTCCCACCAGCCACAACAAAACCCCACAGCAACCCCGAAACATCAGCATCCCACCAGCCTGAAGCCGTCCATGTTTCACAGCAGTCTCCCTCTCCCCAACACCCCAGGAGTACCCTGGCCAGGACGGACGCATAGAGCTGGGAAGAATACAGCTCCTGCTGTCTTGCCACCAGGCTGCACTTGGCTCCACTGTGCAGAAAACCTCTCCCCACGGTGGTCTTACAGGCAGCAGCAGCATCCTCAGGGTGCAAGCGGGCTGCTCCCACTCACACTGCGCCCCTGGAGCGGCAATTGGAATCCGAGGAGACTACCAGTGAAGGCAGCGTAAATTATCACTGAACTTGCCTGAACTCCACCAATTTATACTCGCTGCAGACGCAGGTCAGCCAACAAAGGGGTGCTGCACTAGAATAACAAAAGCCTCAGAACGTTGCAGGCAAGAGGTGAGAGCATGCTGGGGTCAGGGGACGACATCTCCCCAGCGCAGCTCCCCGAAGAAGGCATGCCCAGCGGCCATTTTGCAACGGGAATTATCTGACCGTTGCACCAAAAGTGAGTGGGAACATGGTAACTGCTCATCGCAGCGTGTTTGTTTACAGCTGAGCTTCCTCTGAGTCATGTGAGTGCCAAGCCGGCAGGAGACGGCTGTTTGTACTTGTGCAACTCGCCAAACGGTGGCAAAGTTCTGCAAAAAGCCTTTTGAAAGAAAAGTTAAACTTTTGTCATCCGCTCCCAGCTCTTTTGCGACACACGCGGAGGTGGTGGAAGCAGATTCCGCCCGTCCCAGAGGGCCACTGTCAAACTGTATTAGTAAACAAAACCCAGAGCACGTTACGCATGCAACACATCCACCGCCGACAGCACTCCCGTCAGCCGACTGTGGCATTAAACGGGCACGGCAGAGGGGAACGCCGGCTTGGCGTTCAGCATGGCCCCCGCACACCCACCCACTCACTCCCCGGCCACGCACGGCTCAGCTTTGAATGCCCCATGGCCTCCGATTTAGCATCTGGGAATCCTGTGGCTGCATGGGCGATGGACTGCCTCCGTGCCTGATCCACCCGACAGCCGTCACGTTAGAGAACGAGCCCCGAATAACGTCTCGGAGGCTTGCCAGCGGGGCTCGCCGCCAGCCGGGCCGCGCCGCGTGCTGAACGAGAGGTGCCCTAGCTCGGGGATGAATACAAGCCGAACCTCCTGCTCTCCACACTGACTCAGACCTCCTCCTGCATCGCAAAACAGACAC